ACAGATAAGTTAAGTTCAATATTTAAGATGAAGAAATTGTGTGATTACAATTAATTAATTTCTTGTTCAAAGTGGTGGGTTTGTATTCAAGCTCGTGGTCAATTTTGAAAGAATATAGTCATGTCCATACACAGATCTTTGTAAGCAAAGGAGAATAAAAGGACAGTTGTAAATTTTAAAATATCACTTGCAAATTTTGCTCTAGTAGGAAGGAGAACAAAGGTTTATGAAAACTTAGTAAGAGACGTGGCTGATGCATTTCCATGTACGGTAGCAGCTGAGCTTATCACAGCCACTGTGTCATATCTGGTGTCAGTGGATCGAGAACGTCTGTCCCTCATTTGTCCTGACAGACAGCTTCTCCCGTGGCAACTGAAAGCTTTGCTCCCAGTTTGGTGTTTGCTAATTTTTTGAAATATATTTTTTTGAATTTACTTTTTTTTTTTATTGCAACAGGAAGAGTCGAAATGAAATATATTTTTTTTCTGTCATATCAAGACAAGATTAAATGTAAACTGCCTTTTCCCAGCAGTCAATGGGTGAGATTGTGCATGCTCTCAGTGTGTTTGCAAACTCGATGCAGGAACTCCCCAGCCCACGATTTGAACCTGTTGGTGGAAGATAACAGTCCTGATAGATGTGCCACCATGCAGCTGCTGTTTAATTAAACCTGAACTGAAATTCAGGTTTCAGACACATCAGTCATTAGAGAGTTTTCATTGTCTTTGTAAGAACATACAACAAAATTAAGCAAACTCAAGAATTGTGTTTCATTTAAAATTAAAGTAGATCACAAATAGATAATAAACATATCCTCTCAAATAAAGCTCCATATTCTGACTGACCCCTGAATTTATCTTCTACTTGTTAGAACAAATTACAACCTAATACTAATTTATTCATATAAAGCAGTTTTATTGAAACTGTTACCTTCCCACTGTATTCAAAATCTTCTTAAAACCCCAGACGAATAAAATAATGCATCATCTGCTCAAAAAATAATAATTTTATTCTTTAGAACATTACATATGTATTTTTTTATGTCATTTATATGTGTGTGTACTAATTCAGCAGCTTCACCGTTACTACACAGCAAATGACTAAAGTGATTTATGTCCCAGCTCTGATTCTTAGATCTGATAAACAACACCTTCTGCCACAGCAAAACAAAAAAAAAATGCCACTGCAGCTTTGCACATATCTTGCAAGCTTGTTTTTGTCTCCGTGTGCATGCATTAATCATCATCAGGCATATAAATGGTGGTAGCGTTTGGAAAATGCTGTCTTTATGAACTCATTGTGTGTATATATATATATATATATATATATATATATAATATATATATATATATATATATATATATTATATATATATATAATATATATATATATATATATATAATATATAATATATATATATACAGGAAGAACTCAAAAGCCAAACAACAAAGTGAACAAACGACAGGAAAAACCAGGCTGATGGGCTTTCAGACACACAACAACTCAACCTATTCATTAAGCTTTCAGACAGCATTATTTCCCAGAACCCAACAATGAAAGACACATTTGCATATATTTGCAGATCATGAAATTCGTGTAAAGCAGGACAGAAAAAAGAAAGTCTTAGCGTGAGAGAGAGAGAGAGAGAGGCAGGATTAGCAGTTAGATGACTGCAAGCTGTGTGCTGTGAAAGCAGACAGATTACCATCGGGCCAGTTGGAATTCAAGCCTTATCTCTGCTTGGCAGGGCCTACTCACAGGGGCGGTAAATGAAGTAGCCCTGGGTACGGGCCTGCAGCGGGGCAAACACTGCTGCCTCTGTTACGCCCGGCTGCACAACCCGATTAGCATGGCACCTAGCGCGGACATGTCTTAGTTAAAACCGCTGCAGCTCTCTGATTCCTCAGCATCAGGTTGGTCGAGTTAATAACAGCGCTGAGCACAGAACAATGACTTGGAATCTCTGAAGAGTTAATACCCAGACAGTCAAGTAGTGGATGTTTCATTTGAAGAAAATGTGGACTGACTGCTTCATTTCTAAGACTAGTTTCCCAACTGAATAAATTGTTATTTTCCTTGAACTCCTATTTAAAAAAGAATTGTCCCTCTAATAATTATCATTCAATATCTGGTTTTCTTCTCGTTTTCCATGATGAAGGCTTGAAAAAGGACACAGTACTGAGGGCAGTGGATGCCAACAAAGAGAGGGATACGTTGCAATGACAGACAGACAGAGATTACTTTAACAAAACAGACATGGGACAGGTAGAACGCGACAGGTTATGTGGACCACTAAAGAAAAGTGGTCTGTCCCACTTTGTTTTATCCTGGGTATAGAACAACCTTTCAGACTTCCTGGAGCTTTCATGCCTGGTCTTGCCCTCAGGAAGCAAACACTGACACCCAGACAAAAGGAGAAAAGGAAAGAGTCAGTCACAGAGTTCCCAGAAAACACTGAAAACTGAATGCTGCACGACAAGGAAAGGCTTTTTTGACCTGAAATCTGTGAACCATATCCAACATATAAGCTACATGTAAACAACTCACAGTGTTGCTGCCTCATATCATCCGCGCCGTGTCCCATTCCTACATGATGTCGTCATGTTGACACTGGGAGCTCTCGCTCTCATCCTCTCATGGTTGTGAAACTATGTCAGATGAACTGTGAGTAACATGTAGCCATGACAATCGTCCTAGCAGCTTCTCGGCAGTCTTCAATGCCAGCATATTGTTAACAGTGAGTCAGTGTGACGGCTGACCATTTCACTCAGTTTCTAAGGCATTTCCATCCTCAGAGCTGTGTCATTCTTTTGTTAAAGGCCATTTTTGGTAATTTGGTGCAAAGATTGTTTTCTTTTGTTAGTTTGTTCAGTCTGATACGGCTAAAGTAAGTCTAAAGGAGGTAATCGCATTTAGCTCTCTTTGGTTTGATCTGTCAGTTTTGTGGCTTTATTTGGACAAATTGTGGAAGAATTTAATGGACGTGAATACGCCTGTAACCACAGCTTTGTTTATGAAAGCTGGATATAATAATAATGGAGGGTCAGAAATCGCTTTTTTTTTTCTTTTTGTTTTTCAAAAAGCAATGTAAAATTTGTATTTCTCTGTTTCTAAGTCATTGGGTTAATCCCTTGTAACATGCCTCTCTAGTCTGTGCTTGTACTGAAAGAAAAAAACTACTCTGTCTCACTGATTTCTTCAGTTGCATGCCTCGAAACTGAGAAATAGGGCCTACTCTAGATTTAGTCCAGATTTACTTTTAAAAGGTAAATCTAACATAAAAAATGTCTAAACTCTTTAGCTAGACACACAATGGTTCAAATCTTATCTACCAGCAGCTGAACATTTGTCAAGCATCAGCAAACTTTTCAACAAGCTGTTCATGAGAAATATTGAAACCAAATAATCGTCTTCATTTTCTTGCTAAAGACTACCGGTCACTCTTGTCTCCCTAGCTATTGCTTCCTGTCATAATTCTTCTGATCATCTGGATTTGTTTGTTCCTCTCTTTCTCTCTCTCTGCAAAGTATAGTTAACGTTAAACTAAGTTGTTTCACAAGAGTCTCCATTTTGTTTACATCTCCTCTCTCATGAGATCACATGAGGAAGTGGTGCATTGCTCCCTCTGGCACAATAATTACAATGATATCCTGCACTGTGTGATGGGCTATTATTTACAAAGCTTATAATGCCTGCATGTGTGAGTTTCTGGAGCAGAGGGTGTGGGAATTTCCACACATGGCTCAGAGCAAATCATGGAAGTAGACTTTGATCAAATTACTCTCATGGACTATATGCTAGATTATTATAATGATTTATCTCCAAAAACAGCTTGGTTAACCTTTACCCATCCCCCTACACACCTACACACTTCTATGTTTACATGTCCCTGGGGGGCCATGGTGGTCTGTGAGAGTCTAGTTTAAGAGTATGGCATGCAAATGATTTTGGAAAGGGCTATGAGTGGAGGGTGAACTGCTAGGCAGCCAGAGCTGAAATAACACACAAATCCAGAGTACCAAGCTCTCTCTTCTCCGCTTCATATCGCACACATCTGCACGTGGAAACTTTTGTTTGAAGAAGGATTTTTTAAATTATTGTAAAGATCTGACATGCCTGTCTGTTATGATTTCTTATTAAGCGCTGTAATAATAGAATAAGATAATGGGAGAGCTGTTCAAGATATTCTTTCACAATTATTTTAATTATTCACATTACGAGCAGAGGCCGTGTCACACCACATCTGTGGGAAAGTAGTGGTTAAACTGAAGGTTAGTATTTCAAACTGAAGACAAAATCATCAAAAGTTGATGTTTTAAACTCTCATTAGCATCTCATGTCAGTCATTAGCATAATTAGTGCAGAGCGTTACCTGAAAAGTATGATTATATTTCCAAACATACAAGACAAATAAGAGGTTGAAAGCCTTGATCAGGGGTGCCCAAAGTCTGTTCTTGAGGACCGGCATCCTGCATGTTTTAGTTCTCTCCCTTGTGGTGGTAACAACCTTTTCAGCATGTCAATGTTCTTCTTAGGCCTTTTAATGAGACATCATTTGATCCAGATGCAGTAAACCAGGGAGAGAAGGGTTTCCAAACATGCCTGGTTTAATAGTTCCTACATCAAACATAGCTTGATATGCACTTAAGCAAAAATTGAAAACTAACTTCCATGCTCTTCTTTATCTTCTTCACTCAGTAGCAACTTCAGCACTCAGATGAATTGTTGTTGTCAGCTCAGTCCAGTAGCGCTTAGCTCATCTGTACTGATATTAATCTAAAAGATTCTCCATGATTCACACTTATAATCATTTTGCATTGAAATTAATTTATTCATTTTTGCTTAACCTTACCTTTATGGGTGGGCTAGAGATGCTGCTTGCACCTGCATTTGTATGTTTGCCTCAACCATACAAATGATTAAAGTGTAAGCTTTTATAATTTTTTGTTCATTGATGTCGAGGTTTTAATGAATGCCTCCTGTCTTCTTCTTGTCTTCAGGACCTGTCCTGCATTGATGACCTCTCAAACTCTTTGTTCTCTTCTCCGGCGGACTCGCTGTCGGAGTACGCCGACAACCAGTCCTACATCCCTGCCAATCATCCGGATCCAGTTCCCACACTCTGGGACATTAACACTAGCACCGCCACCACACAAGCACAGAGCCATTTAGAGGTCAGTAGCAAGAAATCTGCTATTAATATAACCACTTGCAAATTATGAGAGATTTGTTTCAACGAGTGTCTTAATGAGTGTTCTGGAAAGGACAGTGTTAAAGGAAAAACATCAAGTTTTTGTCACATTCCCCTCAGTTTGTAAATATTACTGCTGTGCTCACTTTTACATATTGCCGTCAATGGCAATATACAGGCTAACTCTAATCCGTATGAATATTATTTATTAAATAAATGCACTAAAACTGTTTTGACTAATGATATAAGATCAACTGGCAAAAAAAATTGACTATCAGTATTTGATTGGATCAGTTTTCTGCTAAACTGATTTTTTTTCTGGTTGAGGAAATCCATTTGTCCTTCCTTGCTTGTTCATTGAATAGAGGTAAAACTCAGTTGCGTTTTTTTCCCTAGAAGAGTACTTGTTAAGAGTACTTGTTAATATTTGTATCCATGTTTATCAGCAAACTTCAACTAATTAGGTATAAAAAAAAAACAGATTGTGACTGTCCTGCCTCTGATAAAAGTTCTCCAGCTAATAAAAGCAAAGAAGGAAAATTTTAAAACAAATATACTGTAGATATTATCTGACATTTCACCATTATTCAAATAATCTTTTTCCACACTATGCTACCAATACTAGCATTTCTATGATTCAAGAGTTATTACCTTGTTTTACTGCATATTAAAGAGCTGGTTTGTTATTCATTTCTCTTATTTTTCAATTATTTTACAGTTTTATTTTACAGCTTTTAATGAAGTCAGTGATCTTAAAACGGCAACTCTGCTACCCCGTGCTCGTCATGCACTGCTGCCTGTTAGCGGCCTATGAAACTAGATGAGCCCAATGATATTTTTGATACGATCAGACTTCATTGAGTTCACCGACTTACTGAAAGCTTTTATATTTTCCTTTTCATTCTGCCCTCATTTCAGCCATTATGTTTCCCAGACACGTGCCGCTTTATCTGCTTTTTGTTGTCGTTGGCTTTTCAGCGCCAGACGTACAAATTGCATTTTGTTGAGTGGTTCTCTGAAAGACATACCCAAAGTACAACCATTTCTCAGATTTGTGTTCTTTTATTTTATTTTTTTTCGTTTCTTTCTTTGTTTTTATTTATTTATTTATTGAATTTAGCTCTGTGCTCTTCATTTGAGTTTTTGAGTATTTCTTCATTTTATGTTTTGTTGACAGCAGAATGGCGACAGGTTTCAAGGCTTGACCAGTTTGGAAGATATTTCTGCTATAATCAGCACGCAAGCTTTAGGACTCCAGGTAGCAACCGTCTCCATCCATCTGATGGTTTAACCAAATGAGCATTATCAGTTCTTACTAACATACAGATACAACCCTGTTTGGGTGTGTCTGAAAATCAGGACAATTCCTATATTGTTTATTCTTATCTAGAAATCTTGTTTTGACCCGGCAGTTTATCAGTCACACTGTAACAAATGTTCCACGTTTCATAAATAAATATCCTTGCACATCCTGGGGACAGAAAAGAATCCTCTGCTCTCTCTGATATGCAGATAATATTTTCGTGACAAGACTCTAGTATCCTGTTGCTTTTTTATACAGTTCTCTGCCTACATGTTTCACTGCTTTTTTTTTCATTCTTCTGTTGTAACTAAACAAGTATAACCTCAAAATTCAGACAGTCAAAATGTGTCTTACATAATTTTTTGGTCTTTCCAGACTCCAGTAACACAACCACCACCAGAGGAAGAAGAGGAAGCCGAGGAGGAGGAACCAGAGGAGCTCGGCCATGTTGACACATACGCAGAGTACAAACCCTCAAAATGTGAGCTGCTAGACTCAATATTAGGATCTGATCCCTTCATATTTCTCATTTTGTGCCCTTTATGCATTTCTAAAACTATTATTTGTTATTTTAGCTACAATAGGAATTTCACATCCTGACATTGTCGTGGAAACCAACACGCTGTCCAGCGTCCCTCCTCCGGACATCACATACACTCTATCTATTCCGGACTCAACTATTAACAGTGGCCTGCTGTCTGCGCTGCAGTTAGAGGCCATTATCTACGCCTGTCAGGTGAAAATACCTGCACAAAGTCATCTTGAATCACTCACTAGTTAAATTCAGTTCTAATATCATGTTTTTCTTCTCTCTGTGCAGCAACACGAGGTGATTCTCCAGAACAACCAGAGAGCAGGCTTCCTGATTGGCGATGGGGCAGGCGTTGGAAAGGGACGCACCGTGGCAGGAATCATTCTGGAGAACTACCTTAAGGGACGAAAGAAAGCACTGTGGTAAGAAGATACACACATCAGAGAGGTGCTAAATACGTTGCCTTGCTGTATCTTTTTGTCATTCTAAAACTATAAACCTATTATGTGATAGACCAATTTCAACAAGGTCAAAGTTTGTTTTTTATGTTTTACTAAAAAAGTCAGAAAAAGCAGGGTGTGCTTAAAAGAGTTTGCAATGTGTGCAAAAAAGGTGAAGGTGCTCTATATTAAATTATAAATAGGCAATCTTTAATGGGGGGAAATTATGTAAAATTGACTTTTTCTGTTCACACCATGTTATAACATTATTTCTTCATCAAAGACATACCTGGAGAGTTGCTTTAATTCTTCCATGCCTGTTTGAGAAGTTCTTTAATCTCTTGTGGCAACCATTCAAAACGCTTGTCCTGACAAAGCACCGCCCTTTTCTACAAAGCTCCTCCCAACAGCTGCAGTCTCCAGTCTCTTTAAAGAGACAGAGGCCAATTTCAAGGTGTCTAAGTGAAATTTCTTTAAAGTTTTGATAGATGGATGTGGTATTTTACACATGCTGTGGGTATATTTTGAAGGAATTTTGCAAACACAATTTGACAAAAACTGGATAATAGACACATACCCCAAAAGACTTCAGCTGTAGTTCTAGGAGGAGGTGGGCTTAATGAAGTAAGTTCATGACTTATTGTGCACTAGACAATACTTATCAGAGTTACATATTATTCTCCTGCTCCCTCCCTCAGGTTCAGCATATCCAATGACCTGAAATACGACGCAGAGAGAGATCTCAAAGACATAGATGCACCAAATATCCCGGTGCATGCCTTAAACAAGGTCAGTGAAGGGAAGCAATGAGCATAAAACTAAAAGGATTTGTTTCTGTTGTCCACATGGGCATCATTTTGGATGGTTCTTTATTTTCAATCATTTTGAATGTTCTTGTAGATAAAGTATGGAGACACAGCTACCTCAGAAGGAGTCCTGTTTGCAACTTACTCTGCACTCATCGGAGAGAGCCAGGCAGGAGGCCAGCACCGGACAAGAATCAAACAGATCTTGGACTGGTGCAAGCAGGACTTTGATGGAGTTGTATCCTTTCACACAGATGCCCATGTTGCACAAATTGTTGTTTCTGCTTTCCTCTGAACTGTAAATCTATCTCTGTCGTTCACACCTTGACCTCTCGCTGCCATAGATTATTTTTGATGAATGCCACAAAGCCAAGAACGCCACATCCACAAAAATGGGCAAGGCAGTTCTTGACCTGCAGAACAAGCTGCCACACGCCAGAGTGGTGTACGCCAGTGCCACAGGTAAAGTTGTCAAAAAAAGAACACCAGCTGATGCCAAGAAGGATATTGGACAGGGTTCGAAAATGTACGTCTCTTTCAGGTGCCTCTGAGCCAAAGAACATGATTTATATGAGCCGCCTGGGAATCTGGGGCGAGGGCACACCCTTCAGGACCTTTGATGACTTTCTGCATGCCATTGAGAAGAGGTACGTAGAGTGTGATTTATTTATTTGGAAAGAAAAATGCTTTCGAGCCTCTGTCTCGAAGGGTACATTAGCCAGCTACTAATGTAGCCTTGCTAACTACCTGGACAGCTTTTCTGCTTCTGACCTGGGTAAGTGCAAATGTATTGCCAGTTGGCTGGATAAAGTTTCTTTTCGCCACTGGGTCACTTCTATTGCCAACCGAAGCGAGGCTAGTTGCAGAACCATTAAGCACTGTGGAGGTTATTGCAATGATGATTGTAATTCACTAGAATCTGCCAACCATCCCGTATATGTATTGTTTTCCAATCTTAAATTTCATTCAATGTGGCATTAAAAGGGTCTTGCAAAGTTTTAGTTTTGACCTGCAGATACCCTGTTAAATCATTTTGATGCTTTAGTTCTGAGAGTAAAACACCCTTACAGAGCCATGACTGTATCACCCTTCAGTTAATTATGTCAATGATTTATTTGCAGAGGGGTTGGGGCTATGGAGATTGTGGCCATGGACATGAAAGTGAGCGGCATGTATATTGCCAGACAGCTAAGCTTCTCTGGCGTTTCTTTCCGCATCGAGGAGATCGGCCTGGACAGCGACTTCAAAGAGGTCTACAACAAAGCTGCCAAGCTGGTGAGTTTCACTTTTCTCTCAGACGTGAATCAGATCACCCTGCCTTTCACTTTTCTTTTTTTTGTCTTAATTTCTTTTACGAACATCTTGAGCTTTTTCAGCTGACATCTTGACTCTGTGTGCAGTGGGCGGAGGCATTGAAAATGTTCATGCAGGCAGCTGACGAGCTTGGGCTGGTCAGCAGGAAGTCCCTGTGGGGACAGTTCTGGTCATCTCACCAGCGCTTCTTCAAATACCTTTGTATCGCTGCCAAGGTGCGCTGCCTGGTGGAGTTGGCTCAGAAGGAGCTGGAGGCTGGAAAGGTCAGTACAACACACCCTAGAGTACAAGTTTTATTTTCTTATTGTTATGAGACAGATTAAATCATCAGCTGCTGTTCTGCACACTGACAGAGGGTGGAATATTTGTTTAAGTTCGTAATAATTTCAGGGGCAGTTTCACAATTTGTTCTACAAGTTGTTTTTGTCAAACATTGTGAAACAGAATGGAGAGTGATTATTTGTAATTTTATGATCTGGATAAGTATTTGAAAAGAAAACATTTTGGAAAAACTTTCATTTTCTGAAAATAATTATCAGTTAATATTTTGTTATTATTATTTGTTTGTTTGGACATGTGGTGTCCAGTTTTATTGGGTTCCATATTTAAAGATGCACCAATGTGGAGGCATTTGCTATAACGTTAGTGTGAATCTTTGAATTTAAATTTTAAAATGAACCAAAAAAAAATTTAAGTCCTGAGTTTTAACTCACAATTTTTGCATCTTTCTGTTCCAAAACAAGTCCTTAAATGAACAAAATCTAGAAATTAGTCTGTATTTAAGTTGGTTTATAGTCAAGAAAAGCTGATGTAAATTTTTTATATCATTATTCCGTCATAGTGCATCGTTATTGGGCTGCAGTCCACTGGAGAATCACGTACCAGAGAGGTCTTGGATGAAAACGATGGGCATCTTGACAGATTTGTTTCTGCAGCAGAGTGAGTAAAAAATTGTAAAAAATTGTCCTAGTTTTTCTGGCTGTTTGGTTTCATTTCTGATAGTCAAAACCACACCAGCATTAAAATAGTAATGTTTCGAACTTTCATTTTAGGTATATGGCTATTGTATTGATCTTGTTTTCACTATTTGATGTCTGGGTTAATTCCACTTTGTGTCAATTTTACATCAAATGATCACGTAGTGATTACATTTTTGAGGTTGTGCCTCACAGTGTGTGAGTGGCTTGCGTCACGCAGCTTGGTTTGGATGACGCGTTACCTCTTGGTTAGCTGCAAGTATTTAATCATAGAGTGACTCATTCATGAAAAAAAAGAAGGAAGTTTTGGGTGCTGAACTTAGATGACTCCAAGCTTTTTTCGGCAGACATGTCTGAAAACCGGGTCATATTAGGTCGTCCAGTAGCATCTTCATCTGCCTGTCGGCACCTGCCAGCTTTCGGAAGCCCAGAGAAGGAATGCACAGTGCTGGAAATCTGCCTTTCATTGTCTTTATTGCTTTGACATCACAAAACAATCTTGTCTGACTTTTGTCTTCTTCTCTCCAGGGGAGTATTCCAGTCTCTTGTAACAAAGCACTTTCCTTCTGAGAAACAAAGGAGAGAGAAGGCACCAGGGAATAAAAGAAAAAAAGGTACAAAGTACAATGAATTGATTTGACTCACAAAACCACACATGACAGGGTTTCTTCAAAGTATGGAAGAGTAAGAAATTAGGTTTTATTATTTCCGGGGTGTGGAAAAGTATGAAAAAGACACACTAAAGAACTTTTTTTGCCTGTATTGTGCTTCATAACAGCATGATTGTTTTTAAACATTTCAGTATTTCCGCTTTTTGACTTGGTACTGAATTCACACTCATAATAAAAAATTAAATCACTGTTTTGGACTTTAAATGCTGTTTTAACAGGACATGTGATCGAGTAAAATGACAACAAACCATCAAAACTCTTTGGTTTTAATAGAACAAAGATTCCAATGTTCACTAAATTTGGCTTTAAATAATCTGTATTTAGTGTAAAACAACAACAAAAATCCCAGTCCTTATTTACAAGGCCTGAAGAGTTTCGAAGTTACAGACTTAAGTCCAGATCTTTGAAGTAAAGCACAATCGAGTGATTACTGAATCATCACATCCAATTTTCTATTCAGGGAAGCCTCGAGGTCGCCAGGCAAAGATGCCCAAGCACACAGTGGACAGCGGCGGTGTGATCAACATCTCTGACGACAGCAGCAGTGACTCTGAGGGGATGGACACCGACTCCAACTCTTCGCCAGACTCCCTGCAAGACAACGATGACGTCATCTTTGTTAATCACACTAGCCACCAGTCAGGTAGAGCCTTTGACCGTCAATGTCTTTCCACTGTTGCTTCGCAAACAGGGTGAATTTTACAAGTCACGTTGACTGTGCTCTTCTTTTTTTTTTGCGTTCATAGCTAGGATAGAGGAGATGAAGCACAGCCTGCTCAATAAAATTGCTGAACTGGGAAAAGAACTACCTCTCAACACATTGGATGTGCTCATAGATAGGTTTGGAGGACCAGATAAAGTTTCTGAGGTATGAAGTTCGTCTGTTTTTATAGTTTTCTGAAAATGTTTGAATTGAAAGTCTGATTTTTTAAAATATATGTATTTTAACAGATGACTGGACGTAAAGGTCGCGTGGTGCGGCGTCCAGACGGCACCGTTCGCTACGAGTCCCGGGCCGAGCAAGGCTCCACCATCGACCAAATCAACATCAAGGAGAAGGACCGCTTCATGTATGGAGAAAAGGTCAGCAAAGACAATTTAACATAATGAGTGCCCATCACTGTTGAAACTGCAAATAGAATAGAATAGAATTATCCTCAAGGGGAAATGGCTTATTTATTGAGAAGCTACGCCGGTTCAAGTGTTAACTACTGACAAATTCATGATATAATAAATAGGTCATGTTTATTAAATATAACCTAAATATAAGATACATAAATTAAATAATAAGTATGTACATAGGAATATACAATGTGTATAAATAAATAAAAAAAATAACTCCAGCGTAAACTTAGAGATAAAGACACTTAAAGTCGGCTGTTGTTTTACTTGATAGCTGCAGGGAGGAATGATTTCCTGTGGCGCTGCTTTGTAGACGTCCTTCTGCATGTCGTGCATTAACATCCAGGCTTGTTTGTTCCAGTTGGTGGCCATCATCTCAGAAGCAGCGAGCTCAGGGATTTCATTGCAGGCCGACAAACGAGTGAAGAACCAGAGGCGAAGGGTCCACATGACCCTGGAGCTGCCGTGGAGTGCAGACCGGGCCATCCAGCAGTTCGGTAAGTCAGAAAAGAACCTCAGAATCAGTCACTTTCTACACAAAGCTGGGGAACTTTGTAGAAAAAAATTTGACATTTTGAAGCAGTTTTTGTTGTTTGTTAGCTGCGATTCACACAGAATCGTTTTGTCTCTGTCAGAAAGTCATCACTGACCTCATAACCCATATGCAGCCTTCAGAGTGATTATTTGTTTATGAATCATCAGCAAATATAGGTTATGTTAAAGATTGCCCGCCTACCCAATTTTTAGATTTGTCCCAGGGTTATGTCAGCTCTCTGAAGTTAGCTCCACTTTAGGTCAAAGGTCTCAAATTGGTAGGTTGGTCTTTTTTTAAGAGACTTAAACAAAAGTTGCCTTTATATCCAAATGAGGAGAAAAAATTCTCCCAACTTTCTGAAAATATAAAAGCTGTGGCTCTATAATCGTTCTGCATTTTGATTATAAGCAGAGTTTTGGCCTGACTGCTTGTTTTCATACATAAGATGAATAGTGACGTCCTCTTCCTCCTCTGTGGTTTCTGCAAGAGCACACTCCCACAAATACCTTCATTCATTTGCTTTATTTTTTTTCCAGCTATATATTTGTTCTAATAGGATTTTGTGTTTAGTTTGCCGTTTCACACAGATAGTTTCCACTCCTACTCAGAGCCAGCATAAATAGTGTATTTCATCATGAAACATTTATGTGCAAGTTGCAGAAGGTTGATGAAAGAAAAAAAAACATCTCTATCTGTTCAGGCTTCATAATCATCTCTTACACACTAAAACTTTTTTCACTGTTTTTTTAATCCGAAATATGTAACAAACAACATCCCCAACTTGTTTTATATTCGTTTCTGCCATTTAGAGCGTCTTACCTTAAAATCTGCAGTCTTGTGACTGTGACTTGTATATCATTTTTCACCTGTGAACACATGACATACAATGCACCTAGACCGATCTGACACTGAGGACAAATTAAACAACAGTCTGTTGTCATCATTTTCAGAAGCTGTAGGTACAGTCTCACCTCTCCTCGTCTTGTGTTTTTTTTTTTTTTTTTTTCCAGGTCGCACTCACCGGTCCAATCAGGTCACAGCGCCAGAGTACATCTTCCTCATCTCAGAGTTGGCTGGGGAGAGACGTTTCGCATCTATTGTGGCCAAAAGACTTGAGAGCCTGGTAAGTGATTTGACATGGCCTGAAAAAAACTCAGCTTGATCAACTGGACAGCTGGCTGGATACTCAAATATCCAGTCATCTTTGTCCTCAGTGAAAGCATCATGTCTTCTTATGCATTTACCATATTCATTTGGACCGCACCAGTGATAACGAAACACTTTTCAGTGTAGAAGTTGTTACTGCAGGAAGACACCTTAGACTTAGCTGTATTTAGTAGCCGGGATGTGGGACTTTTTTTTTTTTTTAAATATGGATGTTCTTTTGTAAGAAATGTGTTTTAGAAATCTGAATTGATAATTTTAGTCAGGATTACACACCTGGCCGCTGCTAATTTGGAAATATTTAATGGATAATCACAACTGCATGAGAATTTTGTTGTTTTCAAAATAACAGTAAAAATGGAGTATTCCCCAAATACATTTTTATAACCACTGGAAAGCTGAAAGGCAATAATTTTTATGCTGATCTGAAATATTTTTTCTGTAATAACCTTTAAGGTGAAATCAGAGTGTCTCCAGTTTGATGTGTTTGTCATGGTTTGTACTCCATCTTTATTTTTCCTTTCACCAGAGAAAATCTTCTCCTGGTATTCTCCTCTTTTTAAATCTGTGGAAAAAAAACTGTTTTACTGTAAACAAAGAAGATATTCTTTTTGTGTTTATTTTCTGTGGAGTCTTTGGGTTGTCACTGCGACTTGACCCTTTGTCCTTCCTGTTCCTTTGGGATGTTTGCCTGAGGATCCTTTGTTTCTTCACAAACCTCAACACATTCTGGGTCTTTCCCCTAACGGAAAACCGAGCGAGCAAAGCAAAAGCACCCCTGTCTGAATGATTTAAGACTACAGTTATTTTCCATCATTATTGATGCTTTTCTGCGCAAGCACTCATCTATTTCCATAGTGACACAGCATGACGGCTGTTTTAGGGGAAAAGGGTAAGGAGGGGGGAAAGGGAACGGTGGTTCCAGGAAGTCATTTCTGCCTTTTCGCCAGCTGAGTGTGTGGTAAATATGTATCAAGAATAGTTCGCATCTGACCCGGCGGTGTGCTCAAACCGAAGACAGTGAGCCCAACTGGACAGCTTTGCAGCCAATGGACATGAGAATAGTTGTGGAATCAGTTTTGGCAAAGAGGTCCAGCTGTTTTCCTATCATGCCTTTATTTTGGCTGGAGCTGCCTGAAACTTGGCTTTGTCTGACATTTCCCTCACGTAGTTTAGTTTGAACGTGATTATAGTGTGAGAGAAAGCAAAAGAACCGAACAAATGTGAATAACTTTAAAGTTCCTCTGACAAACAAAGAAAGTAGAGCATCAGATAGGCATCATTGTTATCTGTATGTCAGGTGTGGGTATTAACTGCAGTGAGATGCTAAACAAAGGGCTGAACAAAGTATGAGCTCAGTACACTAAACTTTTTAGAATATTATCAGTTGGGTTTTGATACATTGACTTAGGTAATTTCAGGGTGTATTCACAACAGGCGTGTTTATTCTGCTTAACTCTAGTTAGTTTGTCTACAAGATCTGGTTTGCTTGGGAAGGTGTGAATCCACAATCAAAGTCTGATGTGGACCAGAAAAGCTAATTCTGGACTGCTTAAAATCCTTGGTCTCAGTTCAATTGAGGTAACCTCTGGTGCGGTCCAAATGAATATGGTAGATGCATAAGGTGGTAAAATGTTGCTGTTTGGTGGAGCATTGAAGCTCATGACACTGAATTGTTGTTGCTGTTCCTGTGTGCAGGGTGCTTTGACACACGGTGACAGAAGAGCCACTGAATCGAGGGACCTGAGCAAGTACAACTTTGAGAACAAGGTGTGTTTTCAGCAGTAGTTTACTGGAATGTAACACTCAGCCTAATATATTAAAATGATGTAGTTTCTTGAAATACACTCATAAGATTAAAAAAACCATTTTCTTTCTGCAGTATGGTACCAAGGCCCTGGATAAAATCACCAAATCAATCAATGGCTACATAGAAAACAAGGTACCTCCTCCCAAAGGATACCCTGAAGGCGATGCCATGTTCTTCAGAGGTCAGACTGGATTCAGAGAACACCTTTCTCCAGCTTACAGTCTCCTGTTGTCTGGTAACTAAAATGTTTTCATGTCTTTTATTTTAGACATGAAAGTTGGAATGATGGACGTGGGCATCATCTGTAAGGAGCCTCGCCTCGGTATCAGTACTGAGAAAGGTAAGACTTTCCAAAAGGCATTTTGTTTGAACCATGCGTTCAGGTTTCGTCACAAAGCTGTGCTGTGTTATGTCAGACTGCAGCATCACCAAGTTCCTGAACCGCATCCTGGGCCTGGAGGTCCACAAGCAGAACTACCTCTTCCAGTACTTCACAGATAACTTCGACTACCTGATTGAGAAGGACAAGAAGGAGGGAAAATACGACATGGGAATCCTAGGTACGGTGTCTCAACAGGGTTACTTTTTGGGTAAACATAAAATAGCTCATAAAATCCAACGAATGTGTATCTTTTGGTGGGTGTGGAGTTTATAATTTGTTGGTTTACAGGTAATAAAGTGTAATCCTCTATTTGTTGTCTTGCGACTCTCCCAGATCTGGCCCCCGGCAATGATGAGATTTATGAGGAGAAGCAGGAAACTTTCCTAACAGTCGGAAATCCTCAAGATGGACAGGTTGTTCTTTATAAGGTAGGTACGGCACAACCTCCGGTGTGTTATGGTTTATATCAGCTGCTTTCTGCTGTGAGACTCTTCTCAGTGTCACTTTCAATGACTTTACAATCCTTAAAGTCCTATAAAATAGGAATATTTTCCTATCCATTGTATTTTTAAGGTTTCAAAAGTGCTTGGTATTCTGTCTGCACAGTTTTGTCATAAAATTATAATAAACCTTTAGCAGCAAAGCATCTTTACAGTAAGTCAATTGATTATTTATATTGTGTTTAAGCATTTAATTTGACAAGGAAGGTCGTTTAACTAAGTGCAAACCAATTTGTTCAACATAATGAATATTTCATTTTCTTACTGACTCATTGATCCTTGTAATTGAATTAAAGGTTGTCTTACATTTTGTACATTACAGTTATTGAAATTGTGGAATGTTTTTGTTAATTTAGTGTTTTGTTCTTAGATTATTCAGGTGTATAGGGTGTGAGAGAGAATTTTCAACAAAAAAATCCTATATTTTAGTTTCCATTGCCCCTGCTATTTAGAATACAATCACACTTTGCTATTGATAACAGTTTGAAAGTGTCTATAGATTCATTAGATTCACTTGTGTTGTTTTTAATCTTGTGTGGTGCTGGAAAAGTTTTCAAACGTTCCCTGAAAAGTGCTTAAATTTTCCTGTGGGAAAACTCCACTGTGACATCATTTAGTTGAAATACTGTGCTATCCATCATAAAGAGTTGATGTTTCAGATATGTAACATAACGTTAGACACGTCATAGTGAGGTATGACCAGCATGCTTTCACAGAAAATTGTGTTTTTGTTCTCTGCATAGATTTTATCTGGATAAACTCTTTAATCTCTTGCTGTCTCTTCTTGTTAATCCAGGTAAATTTATAGGGCTCTAATAAGCCACTTTGTCATCCACTCACATTACGAACAACAGCCAAGATTTCAAGGCTTTCAGGTGGATTTTGCATCAGAACAACGTTTGTTATAAGGAAAAAGAAGAACTTTTTCCATGTAACCTGCCTTCCCCCAAGCAGTTGCAACTGCAGTATTAGAGTTTTGATTGATGTCACTTTGCAAGCAGTAAGACTGTGATTATACAAGCTTAGCCTGGGGCTGTGGAGCCCATGCAGATTCTAGTTGTAGGTGGCAACAGGATAATTACTGGTATGTGCCGCTTTTAACTGCCAGCTTCAGGCTAACCTACACTTGACATTTTGGAGTCGGCAGTCAAACTGAATCCTGCGGACAGAGACCGTTTTAATAAGCTCGGAGAGGGAGTTACATGTGGTTAGATTCACCTGTGTGAGTCGAGGACCTTCTGATAATAGAGAACAGTGTGGTGAAAATGATTTTTTTCTGCTTGTAGTTTTTTTAAGTCAAACTCTGCTGTCTGGCTTCAGCACATGGAGCTTCTGCATAAGATATTCCCGGTGGTACATCTATTGGCGCCACTGCTGTACTCATGATGTGGTTATACATATCCACCATAACTAAAGCCAACCTTAGGTCTGCATTGGCAAAAAAAAACAAAAACCAAAAAAACATTTTAATCTCATCTGACTAAAGTGTATTAACTCCCGTTAGTCCTAGAAGAGTTTACATCTTTATGATTGTGATGATAGGTCAGGAATAAGCTTGTCGCAATAAGTAATGAATCAAATGAAAAATTAAGGTGAATTTGTAGAGACTTCATAATCCATTTTACTTATGGTTTCTGTTTCTGTTTTATTTATTGCCTGGTTTTATTTTTAGATGTTTAAAAAATCTTCCAGTTCCGGTGTTAAATGTTCTTGAGTAAATTAAAGTTTATTGGTCTTCGCATTATTATGCCGTTATCAATACATATTTGAAAATGATCTCAAAGCAATGTTATCGTCTACTGGAATAATTACTGGGAAAATTTACAGTTCAGCAAAATTTCATGGACAGGAAATGTTTTTGTTTTCTGGTATCTCTTCCGAATAAGTTGTTGGCATGTGGATGATGTGTCGCGAAATTTATAAGTATAGTTATGATGACAATAGTGATTGTTATTGAGATTGTTAGGATTGTTTTGCTCCCCGTAGCGTCCTGTTCACTCTGTGTTCTGCCAATATAAATAAGGATCCTCAACCAGCATAGGACCCAGTGGCTGCGTCGTGTCCTATTTACAACCCACTGAAACTTGAACTAAAAAATTATTTATAAGACATTTCTGAAAGGTTTACCTGCTTGCATTTGTGTGTCTATGAAAGATTAACAAATAACCAGACACAAACAAATGGCAGAAATATGTAGAAACAGGTGATCGTTTTACACAGCAAAACCAAAATAAATATTTCACGGGATATTAAGGTTTATTGCATTTTTGTTAGAAATTACAAAACATAAGAAAAAGTAAAGATAGAAGATGTTTTAGTAGTTCATAGCGCTAACTTGTAGCCATCCTCTTGAGTGTTGCTTTATTAATCTTCAATATTTGTTGAGCAGATGTTTGCAGACACCTAAAATCTTAATGCTAAGTTTTGCAGGGTAGTGTTCTCATTTCTTTAAGGAAAAAGTGAGTTTATTGTGTGGATATTTGTTAGATCACTACAGATAGTTCAAAGTCATGTCACACACTTGACCCTCGTGTTTTTTGCCCTACAGATCAGCGTGGACAGAGGAATGCCGTGGGAGGAAGCGTACAGCAGGTCACTGAAGCTCACCGGTCCTGAAGAGGGATTCTACCTTTCCCATAAGGTCCGTTTGTCCAGTTCTGTCCAGGCTCCGTAAAGCTTCGTAAAGTGTTATTTAAATTGATCAAATACTAAAATTGTGTGCGTGTGTGTTCTCTCTGCAGCTGCGAGGTAACAGCCCGTGTGTGCTGCTGGCCGAGCAGGGAAGAGGTAAAAACTTCAACATCTACAAGCCCAACATTGGCAAGCAGACCCAACCCGAGAGCCTCAGCAACCTGCAGCAACGTTACAGAAAGGTAAGAAGTCAACTAAATGGAAATATTACTTTCCTATCCACTGCGTTTAGCTCACTTAAACAAACTTTTTCTACTTCCATCATATTTTTGTCTATTATATTTTTCTCCACCTTAATTTTAGCAAATATTGATTTTTTTTCTGACATTGCCATTTAAAAACTAATAGCTCTGGAAATAGCTTTAAAAAAGATGGATGTTCATAGCCTAGAGTCTGCTGCCCCCTGGTGGACTTGTTTTGCCAAAGCCGTGTCAGTGCTTTGCAAGTCTGCACTTGCTGAACTTTCGACAGATTATCATGTTGACTCCGTGCTGTTTCAGGTTACTTTCTCGGAGGCCAGGGAGAGCTGGGAGAACCAGTTTACCTTTTCCTTTAAGAACTGCAGCCACGCCAACTGGTGAGTAACAAAAACATCCACAACATCCCTGAGGATTATCAGCTCAAGCTTCCTCTGATCAGTCCAGTGTCTCTAACTGTTACAGGTTGTAAAATCATCGGAGTTATAAATAAATGTCACACTTAGCAAATAAAAAGCAATAAAAATAGAAGAAATCCAATTGCCTTCTGCCTTAGTGTTTGTCAAGTACTGAATGGATGTTAATCCGTTTCCTCTCTGCCTCTTCCAGGAATGGGAAGTGTAAGAAAATCGAGGAGGGCCAGGAGTGTCTGGCGGGGATGCGTCTCCGCCAGTATCACATGCTGTGTGGAGCTTTGTTACGGGTGTGGAAGCGGGTCTCTGACGTTGTGTCCGACATCACCAGCTCCAGCATTCTGCAGATCGTCCGCCTCAAAACCAAGCAGCACAACAAGCAAGTCGGTGAGTGCGTCCAACGTTACAGCACCGTGTGCATGAGTGCGTGGAAGTCCTTGGAGAAGACATTCATTTTCACAAGAATTAGCTGAAAATATCTTAAAAATAATTCTTGAAGGCCAGTCTTTTTTTCAGAGACTTTTCAATTTATTTTACTTGCGGACTCGGTTAAATGTGGTTTTTATTTTATTTCTTGTTTTTGGATCTTTTATATATTTTCCACTTCTGTATAAAGTTTCAGAGAGCAAACTTGCACCATTATCAATATATCACCCGAAAATTGACTCAAAACAAATATATTATCTTTTATCACAATAATTTCTGGTACTATTTTTTGTCCAGAAAAATTTACTATTATTACTACTTTTTGTAATTTTATCACAAAGGATCCCAATGCCATGTAGTTTGCTGTTGCAACATGACAAAATGTGGAAAAGTTGCAGTGAAATTAATAGTTTTGCAAGGTAACGTGTTTTAATTAAGGGAGTTGCTGAATAGAGAGTTGTGTTTAATGATGTGTTTAAGAAGCGTTTGATCGGCCTCTCAGGACTCATTGGTTTCTCTCTCTCCACGGTCGCTGCACACAGGCATCAAGATCCCAGAAAACTGCGTGGCGCGCGTGCGCGAGGAGCTGCTGCAGATGGACGAAGAGGTGAAACGGAGGCGGAAAGAGAAGGAGCAGCAGGAACGCATGCGCAAAATGGAGCAGGAGAACAAGCACCTTCTGGAGAACCTGTTCAACCAGAAGCCCATCCGAAACCAGTCGCTCGCCCATAGTCTGGGGTCCAACCCGTTCCCCAAACAGAACCTGAATGCTCTGCAGAGGACTCAGCCCAGCAGCTTCTCCCAGCCGTCCTCCCACAACCTGTCATTGTTTCCTCTCAATGGCTGGCCCAACAACTCCTCCTCCTCGTTGTCCTCTTCCTCCTCCGCCACCAACGGCCAGGTCTGCCAGCCCAGCCACAGATTCCCCCCGTTCTACAACTCGTCGTCTTTCATGTCGTTCCCTCAATCCAAGAACCCGCCGCTCCAGCTCACCCAGTTCTCGCCGGCTCCCCATCTGTCTTCCAAGAACCCCCTGGACGAAATCTTGGACCTGACCGTGAGCCCGCCTTCTTCGTCTCCGGACAGCACCACGGCCAACCCGGCCGCGTTCGTGGATGATTTCAACCTGGACGTTCTCTTGGGCCAGACGCAGCTGCCCCAGCTTGACCTGCAGCACATCCTGCAGCACACGTCAGAGTCGGCGGCGACGCCGTCCAGCCAGTTTGACCTGCAGGGGGCGCCGGGGCCGCAGCAGGACCAGCAGACGCAGGAGCAAAGCGACTTGTTGGTCAACAACCACCAGGACATACTAGAGCTACTTTGCGCAGGCCTGCCTCCGCCCCCGCCTTCGCAGAAAGCCGTCTTGTCGTCTTCCGCCCTGTCCCACTATCCCAATCCGTCCTCCTCGTCCTCATCATCCTCCTCCTCGTCCTCGCTGTACTCCGGCGCGGCGCACTCCTCCTGCTTTCCGGCGAACTCGCTGCTGCCGCTCTCGGACCCTTTACCCAACGGCCAGTGCGGCGCGGGGGCGCTGGACGTCCGTGAGGCTCTGAACAGCATGCTGCAAGCCGGACCCGACCGCAAGTCCGTCATCCAGTACCGTCAGCAAGACTGAGAGCTCAAATCGTTACAAACTGTCTGTCCTGTTTTTTTCTCTGGTGTTTTGGTTTTTGTGGTTTTTTTTTGTTTGTTTTTTTTAAGCAGATCACATCTTGTTTGCTGCTGTCTAGAACTTGTCCTACCCTCCTTCCTCTCCCCTGACCCTTTGACCCCTGACCCCCTCAGGGCCTATAGTCACATCACTGCCTGTCCTGTGCTGGACCCCTCCCCGCCCCCGGCCCCCTGAGGTGATGGCAGACTCAGTCGATAACAGATTTCTGCACCAAAGTGTGCCCTACACAGTAAAAGGCAGCTGTTTTAAAAGTAAAAAAGAAAACAAAAAAATAAAACACAGGAAGTAAAAAACTATCCACCTTTCAGTGGAAAAAAAAAACCCAGGAGCTGTCAAGAAACACAAAACTTATTCACTGAGGCATGAAAATATTTTTTAAAAAACAAAAAACCCAACAAATCCCGCTGCTGATTTGTAACGAGTGAAGTTGCTGGAAGCTCTAAAAATGCCTCTCACCATTTACAACTTTTGCTTTTTCTGTTACTTTTCTGGGGGAAAAAAGGAGTATGCTGGGTGAAACAAAACAACAAGAGAGAGTGAAAGAGAAAACATAAAATCTTTTAGCTGGTTAGCCACGAAATGCCTCCGTTTTCTGTTATTTCCTCCACATCGTCCCTCCTGGTTCTCTCCCTGCTTCTATGAACACTAGCGCGAGGAAGAAGAAGGGGAGGAAGATCAGCCTGCTGTTGCGACAAACAGTGCCTTCAGAGAAAAACCTATAAATGCAGTCTTTAATACTTCATGTAGCCTAATGTATAGATTTGTACTCTTGAGCGGTGGTTTTATTCTTAATTTAATACACTTGTATTTGTATTTAACTTTGACCCCATGAATGAGTGAGTGAATGAGTGCGTCAGTGAGTGAGTGAGTGAGTCGGCTGCCATTTAGTCGATCTTTGCTGGTGTAAAGTTGTCTGGTTTGCTGCTCTTGGGTTGGAAATCAAATCAGGGAAGGATTTCAGGGTGTCGAGAGGTGAAGCGAGTGGACAGACTCCCACATGACAGCTTGGCGAACACCTGGCTCGACGCTCGCAGGTTGTCAGGTCTCTGAAACGGAAAACACTACGCTCAGAGAAGCCCCGTCACGTTTTCGCGCCAGGACCGCCGCACCAGATCGCATCTCTTCTCTGTTGTCGCCCTCCTCCTCCTCATTTCTTCATCTTCATCCGCCTCCTTCCTGTTCAGAATCTCCGTCTTGTCTCGATTTTTGTGGCACTCATCCGATGCAGATTCTGTTTGAGTGTTTTTAAATGTGTAAAATACTGTTTGTCCTCTTGAATTAGTTTCCCTCTGCAGGCATGGGCTGGTATGAGATTCTCGTGTAAAAATGACAATGAAATTTTCAATTAAACAGAAAAGAAACGACTTCTAACTAAAACATAGTCAAATATTTATTTATTCTTATTGTATGAAATGATTCTATCGATTAGATTTATGTGTTTATCAGGTACCTTACAGCAACCTTGACAACTGTAGCCAGCTCATGCCTCGTTTCAGACTCCAAACCCGGGGAAAAAAAACGCAGGAAGTCGCGTTTTTTGTTTTCTCATTTTATCCATCATCTTGGACATAGGAAAACAGAAAGGTAGAGCAGCTGCGCTGTCCTTTTTCAGCTCTCAGCGTGTATGATGTCTCCTAAACCTGACATCCGGTGATATTCGTGTGTGAAAACAATGCACTGTAGCTGGTTCGTGACAAATTGCCAGAAGTTCAACTTGTCGATAAAGCAATAACCAATAGTTTTGAAAGGAAACAAAACAAAAATAAAATAAAAACGCCGAAAAGTTTACTCTCGCGCTGGCAAAGCTTTGAGGCTGTAGTCGTAGTCGTGGTTTGAGTCTTTTTTTCTCCGTCACGTTCGTTTTGTAAAGTACATTTTGACTTGGTGAGCATGACGAGTTCTGGGTCTTTCACTTACTGCTCTCCTGAAACCTATTGTTATTTATATTTAAGGGATATTTAGATTTTACGTATGTTATCTTCTTATAGTAATCCGTGGTATATTTTGGTCAGGGAAGTCACTTTGTGTTCAAGATTCCTTAAGAGTAAAACAAATTTTTATTATAACCTGCCACCAAATAAAATGCACTGTTCTGTACTGCTGTACAGTGTCTGGGTTTATTTTAGCTCCCGCTGTCCTCTCGACCCGTTCGTCCCAGAAATACCAAAGTGTTCCACAGACAGACACCCCTAAAGATACTGGCTCCAACAAGCGAGACCTTTTATCAATCTCAGGAAGAAACCCACCGTGTCAGGGCGTTCACACAATTATATCGTTTTGTTTTTTCCCCTTGTAACAGTGATGAAACTAATGCTTCTGGGGTTTGTTTTGTTTGTTTCTTAACTCTGTGCTGTGACTCTTGCTGTATTTATGTTGGAGATTTAATGTGATTAGTTTATTTGTCCTTGTGAAGATGTTAGTGATTTTAAATGTTTATGCCATCTTAGGGCAAAGATCAAAGCCTCTTTCGTTTAAGAAATTTTACCTTTTCTGCGGACAATTTTATTTTTATTCTTTTTTTTTTCTAGCTTCATTCACACCTGGGATATATTTTAACACAGAAATAACAGATCTAAGAATCTCGCACCTCGTTTCACAGATGGTTAAAACTCAAAGCAATTATTTCTCTTTCTCGTATTTCTCTTCAGGCACATTCCAAGACGTCCGTCTGCAAAAGCTTTCTTTGTGTTTCCTTCGTTTTTTTTTTCCTTTGTTTGTTTGTCACAAAAGTTAAAGCTTTACGTGTTTGAGGGATTTATAGATATATAAATATATATTTACAGCAATTTTCTTATTTTATTTGCTTAGGTAGGCCTTTAATCATATATCATTTTGCACTAAGAATGGCATAATCCAGTTACTGTTTGTGTTGGCTATGATTGAGCAGTGCAAGCTTGGCGTCCCTGTTCTTTACACTTGTTCTCTGTATACTGTAACCATGTTTCTCGTTCCTTCACCATTTGCATATTATTATATAAATGTTATCACTCTGAAATAATTTATTGCTAACGGAAAAAAAATGACACAAAAACATGCTACTGATTGTATGTATTTTTAAACAAAGCCTATTTTTTCTGTAAAAAAAAATACGACAAAAACTGTGTTCAGCACTTTTATTCTGGGTTTTGCTTTTGTTTTCTATATATTTATAATTTAGATCTAAATGTATATATTGTAAAATTTGTGCCTTTCGACTAATTCTTTAAGAAAAGGTTTTCTACTCATTAAAGGAAGGACTATATGAAACTGCAATCTTAACTTTGTAAACAAATAAAACTTGAAGATTGCTGAAGCGGAGTCGTGTTTGTTTATTGGAGTTTTGCACTTTACAATATTATTTTGGGTTCATATTTTAAATTAGGTCATGAAGAAGAAGTTGCACTGATCGCCCTCTCCTGGATAAATGATGCAACTGCATTAAAGCTGACTTTTTGTCATTTAATCAGCAGGAATATGTTTATTTTTATGAAGGTCTCAGAAGTTTCTCAGAGAACTTTGAGTATCTCAGCGATCTGTTCAGTCCACACTGGAGGAGGAAGTAAAAAGGTAAAGAATAAAGCACAACCTCAAACAGACAGAGACCTGTCTAACCTGACGGAAAAGAAGAAAACTACAGCTCAGACGGAAGAAAATGTGATGCATATTGAAAAGTGTCAGGAAGAAAGTTGTTGAAAGACAGAAACCAGGTAAAGGCAAATGTTGAATAAGTTGATGTGGTCAAAGCAGAACAACAAATTTTGAGAAATAATGCAAACTGCTGCGTCTGACGGGGAAAAATAACTGCGATCATCATGAGCACAACATCTCAACGGTGCAACATGGTGATGGCAGCATCATGCTGTGGGGATGTGTCAGGGACAGCTGGAAATCTAGTCGATTAGAGGAGATAAATATTGAACAAATATGGAAAAAGATTCTGGAAACATACAACAACAAGAATCAAAACGATTCGTTCAAGCACTGGCCAAATGTTTCAGGTGTTTATTTCGTTTTATTTTAATGTTCTTTATTTTTGCTGCAAAACATATTTCCATCCATTTGACTGGTTTGTCTGGCTTCACGTGACTCAAAGTCCCAATGCAACAATGGTTGCAAAATAAAAGTGAAAATGTTCAGGAGTGTGACCAATCTGTAGTACACACAGATTTTAAGTTGTGTTTCATAAAAACTCAAGTACTACAACTACTAATACTACCACTAATAATACTACTACTAATACCAATAATAATAATAATTATTATTATAATGATAGAAGTGAACTTCACAGCCATTCAGACCTTTAGATAACCTGTTTTCTTCTTTAAAACAGAAACAGACGCATAATGATGTTTTATTAACGTGATTGCAGTCAAAGGTCCTGCCTTATAAAATTTAAGCCCAGTGTTTAATCTGTTTCCGGAAACCTGTCTTTTTACGGCCAGTAAACTACGTCATGACATCGCGAAACTCAGCGTCCAGTCAGGCCACGCCTCGCCCTCACCTGAGCGCAGGAAGATTTGAGGCAAACTTTTAACAAGAAACCGAACAGCCACTGGGAGAAACCGACGCCGCGGAGGAGACTTGTGCCCGGAGCTCAGGACTTTGCTTGAGAAAGAGAAAGACGGCGGAAAGAAACAGGTTTGTCATTTTAAATGGTGTTTCACAAGCTTTTTGTGTTTGTTTCAAGAAAAACCCAAAGGAGACTCGAGCGCTAAAGAAACAGGTGATTTCTGTCGTCGCAGATTAAAGGCTCGTTATCTTAACGACCCTTTAATGTCGCAGGTGTCTCGACGCTTTGAAGTCGAGCAGGTGTCTTGTGTTTTTCAGCTCTGACAAAGTCCAACCTGGACAAGACAATGTTGAAAAGATTTTCCAATTTCAGTTTTTCCTTCCCAAATTATTAGTTAATTTGTTTGTGCGGGTTCAACCCCGGTGCGGTTGAGTCGGACATTTGGTTGGAGCTGATGCGGGTGGGTTTAGTGGAGCCCCGCTGCAGCTCTGCGTGTTGACTGACAGCCAGCTGCAGGCCCAGCTCTCCTCCTCACCCCTCTTCCTTTCCTTTCCTCCCCTCGCCTTACTGGTTCTGCCACATGTGCAGGTTTCTACCTGCCTGCCGCAGAGTTTCGCAATAGTTTCGGCTACATTCCCAAAGTGCTGCGTCTTCCTCTGCCTCCATCCGGACCAGAGTCTGGATCCGATTCAATGATTGTTTCTGGAAACATCGCTGGGAATAAAGAGGATTCTGCGTTTGGATAAAATTGCCTGCTGAAATTTGACTTAATATTAAAACGAAAAATCATATATATATATTTTTAAAGCATAATAATTTGACATGAAATCAGAATTAGATTAGCTCAAGACTTTTTGGCTCTGGCTGATGGTGTCTTTCAATTGATATGCAACATAAACTTATTGACTATTCAAACACATTGAACACAATATATAAAATGTACAAATATAAACATGTATGTGTGAATATTGCTGCTTTGTGTCAATACTTCTTTCTTTTAGGAGTGTCATAGCTGTCAAGTCTGGGTATTTAAGTGAAACAGAAATGACAGCAGGGAGTGAAATCAATGTTGAAACATACTGATTTAAAATGAGTGTAGCCGATTTATTGTTTTTAGGATTTTTGCCTTGCAGCATCAGTCCTACGTTTGAATCAGTTCTAGTGTCACTTTGGATCTTTATTTGGTTAATCTACTTGGTCTCAATGCATTTCTCCACTTATTCTAGTTTTCTCACCCACTGGTTGATGGAGAGAGATGGCTTCCTGGTAGGATGGATGGAGAAGAATGCTACATATATGCAGTGTGGGTTAATACAGTGAGAGTAGCATTTAAATTTAATAACCAATTCAAGAATAGGAAAAAACATTATATTTTAGAAAAAACATTTAATCCCAATCTTATTTCAATTTAAAGGATGTTGCCTGATCAGTTTAATAAATGAATATTATTACATTAATTCTACAAGGTTTCTATATAACAAAGCTTGAAAAATACAGACATTTCAATCAAATGTAAATGTTTATACATTTCAAAGTGGTTGGAATATGGTTTAGAGTTTGCATTAAAGGCTGTGAGGCATAAGAATTAAGATTTTTTTATTTATCTTTGCTGCATTTTTAGAGTAAATGAACTTATTCAAAATTTCCTGGCAAATACCGACTTTAATTTGCTTTTTGGTGCTTTTGTTTCGTTGACGGTTGAACCTCACAGTTTAAAGTTTTGTTTTTGGGGGGTTTGTTTGCTCTGTAAGAATAACTACAACATCTCAAACCATTTCTTTGGTAATATTCTTTTGAATATGATCCAAAACATTGATTTTTGTCTTGAAGTACCTCCCATTAGTTTTTTTTTTTTTATGTATTTGACTGATCAATCGCCTCTCGGAGCTGATCAAGGGGAAATGATCTGATTGATTTGTGCATATCTACAGTAATTTCAAGACCTGCTAACCACTATAAAGGCCTGTGTAAAGCAGTCCAGGTAGCTGGAGAAACGAGTGTTTACTCTGCTGCCAGTGTTTCCTTCTGTGAAGTTCCCACTTCACAGAAGAAAGTGGAAGCTGAAATGTCCTGTTCTGTGTAATTACAGCCACTCTGTAAACCTCTGGAGTGTTTGTGGTGGATCGGTGTGTATTTACACAGAGGTCTTGCTTTCCCTCACTGCCCACTAACAGGCCAGTCACAGCCCGATCTCTCTCGGAACACTTCATCTCTAATGCTTCAGAAGGTTTTTATTTTGTTAGCTTTTTTATGATGACGATAAATTCATAAACAAACTAAATTCATAAACAAACTGTTGTTTTCCATGTCTTGAGTTGAACTCTTGGCTAGTGTCTAGAGAGAGAGCAGGTAGTTTGCATGTTGGATGTTCAGCAGGAGTGCCTCCATGGCTCAGAAAGAAAACCTACGATCCTCTGAGTGATTCTGCTGCTGGACAAACCAGGGATAAGTAATTGCATGTCTGGTTTAAGTCAGAGAACTAGCTCGTCTTACTTTCTTCACCTCGGATTAATAACTCACTTGCACTAATGTTTGCCTCAAGCGGTCACACCTAGCCGATCCCGCGCCATGTTCCTGCACCTGCTATGTTGCCAATACACAACCAACACATTGTGTTGTCATAAACGCAGCTCTTCTGAATAGGGAACTAGCAGGTCGTTCTCTGTACCTTTATTTCCCCCCCTCTGATGTAGGTTAGGGACAGGTCAGTGTGGCTTTAAAGAGGCAGGGTGCTGATATTCAGACAGCACCACCTCGACGGCACTCCCACGCCCCGGGGCGTGGATAAACGCTAACCACGAAGCAGAGATAACATCAAAGCTCGCTGTTGCCACGGTGCCATTTCCTGGTCCTGAGACACAACAGAGCCACTGTAGGAACCCAGGAAACCCAACTCCAGGCCAGAGGATCTATATTGTAGCAAACAGCCCGTCAATTATTAACAGACCACTGGTCTCATTCCTCTGTTGTAACCATGGCTCCCAGCAGACTGAAACTCGGCCAGCAGCTTGGGACCAGCAGCCGCTGAAAAGTTGACCAGGATGCCCACGCAGTGCTGACACTGGGAGCAAGTGGACCTGTTTGGCTCTAGAGAGGGAATTTAGACCGGACTGGCCGACGCATGTGGATTATTTGATGGAAGAAACTGAGAAGAGATTTTCAGTTTTTAATTTCTTCACTTTTGAGTGTCTTTGCATCCTGGCATCAGTAACCAGGTTCTCCTCCGACCTTCACAAAGTGGGGATAATTACATAGAGGAGCAGACGACCGCCGCGCTGCTTTCATCATGAAACTGACGCAGCGTTTCAAACTGCTGAAGCACTTCGGGTCTGTACCCCCGGAGCCGCCACCGCTGCTGGAGGTGCCTGTAAGTGAATGGATCGCTCCAAATGTTAGAAACATAACATCTGATCAGGTCGGTTTGTAGTCGAGGAACAAAACGGGGATTTAAAACTAAAAGTATCTTCCAGTCTACTAATCCGATCAAGTGCATCTACTATTTATTTTTAGGGTTATTTTAAGAAGATACAGCTTTTAGTGTTTGTTAAAATTAGAAAGTGTAATTTATCACAGTTGTGATAAACTGCATCATGAACATGTTTAAATCTAATCATAAACTTGACAAAAGTAAATGACGACTGCTGTGTTTTTCTAAAAGTACAAATTCAAATCCATGGGAGAAATTGCTTCCTACATTTGCATTCTAAGCAAGCTGCACCCACAGCGATGCCGCAGCGTTTCACAACCAAAACCCATGATGCCGTTGTGATTAAATATCGGTTTAAATGCTGAAACCCAAACATGAGAA